TAATTTATTCCCACCCGGGTTCTTGTGTGATGTCTGCATCTGATCTGTGAAGAAATGATGCATGGGGTAATTGTTCATATACGTTTAGTGTTTGAAACTGTTCCCGAGTATTCCTAAGTGAACACCTAAACATTAACTGGATCACGGTGTGTGTGTGTGTGTGTGTGTGTGTGTGTGTGTGTGTGTGTGTGTGTGTGTGTGTGTTCGTAGTATTTCACGTTAACACGCAGCTTAGATGGACTTCAAGAAATGTATATTAGCATAATTACAATTAATTGATTCAGATCTGCGTTTTATCCTTGTTTCAACGTATAATTAGACTATAAAGTGACACTGATCACTTGATAAACAGGACTTATTGTGCTGACAAGATTGTGAATGAAGCCAGTCTTCAGTCGGGACTACAAAGCAGACGTTGATCAACGACATGCACGACTTATCAGCTACGACAATTCCTCCGCTACCGACAAAAACTACATTGGTACGCAGTAAGTAGCAACAGTACAAATCCTCCATCACCAGACGAATACATAGTTATCGTGACCCTCAAGATCAGTAAGGCTTCCAGAGAAGAAAAGAACGTCATGCTCGCTATTACTCTTGGAAACGATGCACTAGAAGTGCTATCGAGACACGGGATAGTCCGTCGGAATACGTGTTCATGTATGTAATTACAGAGCTTACCCAATAACACGTATACGTCACAGAGGTCGTGAGGGCAAGGACATATACTGTCAAGGGTCAAGTTAGGATGGGTCAAGGTCGACTTTGTTTATTATCCTTTACAATGAGACAAAGACAATTACCCCTCTCGACTTTTTACTAAATTCCTATAATTTCAACGAGACCGACGTCACTGAATTTACTGTGCTTTCAGCGCGGTGTCAATCTACATCTGGCATGTTGAATCATCCATACCAGCAGTTCAATTAAGTGAGTTTAGTTTTACGCCGCTTTTAGCAATATTCCAGCAATATCACGGCGGGGGACACCAGAAATGGGCTTCACACATTGTACCTATGTGGAGAAATGAACCGAGCTAACGTTTTAACCACTAGGCTATCCCACCGCCCCTACCAGTTGTTCAAACTCGACATATATTACCTTCAGTGGACGTTTCGAAATAGTGTTATTTCAACACATATACAACTGTAAATGACCGAATATGACTGGCAGCTAACGGTATGTCCGGTATATAAGCCAAAGTACCACGAATTTCTGGATATGTAGGTTTTATATTGTTATAGAGTTATAGAGTTACATTGTGGTTACATTGACAGGGGACGTCCTCCGTGGTGTAGTGGTTAGAGCGTCCGCCCGGAGAGTGGAAGGTTCGCGGGCTCGATCCCCGACCGCGTCATACCAAAAGACGTTAAAATTTGGTACTTGTTGGTCCCTGTCTGGCGCTCGGCATTAATGGGTACAACAAGGACTGGTCGGCTCGGAGTCAGTATAATGTGTCTGAGTGGGGTATTCATGCTTCACTGCAGCATGGTATCTCAGTGGGCTAGCACTATAAAACCAGCTTAAGTCTGGGCTAGTACAAGCAGCCGCACATACACATACACACGCATGCACGTCGTCATATGAGCGAAATATTCTCAAGCACGACGTATAATCCAATTTCACCTCACCTATATTGACAGGCGGACAAAGGCCCATTACCGTATCTCCCAATGCTAGTCCAGGGACGGCTTCTGGTAGATTGTTCTAAGCATTAAGTTACTATTAGTTGTAAAGAATACACCCAACCATTAAAATTAATTCAGATGTTTCATCGACTATTGCAATGTGAAATGGTAACAATAGATGAAATCGTTGCCAAAACAAACACATAATTTAGGATCTGCTCACAAGAACAACAATGTTTGTAGAGGTTACACGGTAACATAGTAGTTTACCTGGTATTGGTCCTGTGTTTGAATCGAATCCAAGGACAAGTGAATACTTTAATCACCAAGCTACCGTACGGGCCTACTTACGTATAAAAATGATTCAACAAACATATGAAGGAGATTATCAGCACAGATCTGTCAACTGTGGGTCATGTTTTCATGAACCGCATTTTCTATCAATGTGTATATGTTATGTTGAGAGAATAATCGAAGTAAGGGTGTCGTAAAAAAAAGTTTGAATAAACGTGTGGTGTTTATACCAATTCACCCAATCCCGTGAAAAAGATAATATATTTAAAAATATTAAATGGAATTTGAGGTCATTGAAAGGGTCCACTTATCGGACGAAAGTCGATACATTTAAAAAAAGAGAGACTACAGTGCGATTTAAAAAATAGACATTGTGTACTTCACGACAACAGCCATTAATCTACATTTGGCAAAGCAGCCAGTACTAAACCTGACGCGAGATCACCAAATGTTTTGTTTTGTTTTGTGGCGTGTATGTTGGAACAATTTTATGAAGAAAACAATGTCCTTGGGATGGTATAATCATAGACGTGTTGCACTCAAAACCATTAGTATTTCTGAACCCGCTGAACAAACAACAGATCCCCAAATTATATCAATAATAAGAATTGTATTCAAATAACCATGTCAGGTAGTCTTTGGTATAACCAAACCAGATCTTCCCGTAAGTAAGACGGGGCGGTAGGGTAGTCTAGTGGTTAAAGCATTCGCTCGTCACGCCGAAGACCCGGGTTCGATTCTCCACATGGGTACAATGTGTGAAGCCCATTTCTGGTGTCCCCCGCCGTGATATTGCTGGAATATTGCTAAAAGCGGCGTTAAACCATACTCACTCACTCCCGTAAGTAAGACACCGGATAGTATAATACATGGTCTTACGCAAGACCGCGCAACAGCATTGGGTCCGCGGACATCGTGGAATAGACTAGTACACGAAGATAGCATGTGCCTTGAAATATCATAAAATAAATACACTTAGTTCATAACGAACACGCTTATACCGAACTGAAGTATACAACGAACTGGGCTTTTTGTCCCGACCACTTACTGTATATATGTCGAAATGCGTATAACGAACTATGGTTATAACGAACTATCATGAGCGGTCCCTTTAATATCGTTGTGACTGTAGTTTACTGTATGCACTATCAATACAAGTACAATAACAAAGGATTTCACCTTCATTGTCATCCACTAGGAACGTGTATCACGTCATTATCATCCACTAGGACCGTATATCACGTGATTATCATCCACTAGGACCGTATATCACGTCATTATCGTCCACTAGCGACGTATATCACGTCATTTTCATCCACTAGAAACATACATCACCTCATTATCATCCACTAGAAACACATATCACGTCATTATCGTTCACTAGGAACGTATATCACGTCATTATCATCCACTAGGAACGTATATCACGTCATTATCGTCCCCTAGGAACGTATATCACGTCATTATCGTCCACTAGGAACGTGTATCACGTCATTGTCATCCACTAGAAACACATATCACGTCATTATCATCCACTAGGACCGTATATCACGTCATTATCGTCCACTAGCGACGTATATCACGTCATTATCATCCACTAGAAACATACATCACCTCATTATCATCCACTAGAAACACATATCACGTCATTATCGTTCACTAGGAACGTATATCACGTCATTATCGTCCCCAGGAACGTATATCACGTCATTATCATCCACTAGGAACGTATATCACGTCATTATCATCCACTAGGAACGTATATCACGTCATTATCGTTCACTAGGAACGTGTATCACGTCATTATCGTCTATTAGGAACGTATATCACGTCATTATCGTCCCCTAGGAACGTATATCACGTCATTATCGTCCACTAGGAACGTGTATCACGTCATTATCGCCCATTAGGAACGTACATCACGTCATTATCGTCCACTAGGAACGTACATCACGTCATTATCGTCCACTAGGAACGTGTATCTCCCCATTACTATATATGAGGAAGAGATATATCCGTCATTGTAGTACATATAGAATTGTATCCTGTCATTACAGTATACGATATACGAATATTCTGTCGTTACATTAATAACGTATATGACGTCATTACAGTATAAATTTTCATTACACTAACTTAAAAACAGATATCCTTTCTTTACAGTATATCAAAAACGTATATCCTTTCATTAGAGGACAACTGGGATGTATATATTATCACATTACACTAGGAAAGCATATTACAGTACACCAGGGACGGTTACTCCTGTCTGTACAATACACTAACAAGGTATAATCAAGCCAGTAACGTACACTCAGTACGTATATCAAGCCATTGCAGTACACTGAGAAAGTATATCCTGTCACTAAACTACACTACGAACACATATCACGGCATTACAGTACATCTCACTCACAAGAAAGGATATTAAATCATTACAGCGGATTAAGCACGTATATCAAGTCATTACAGCTAACGAACGCATACTAAGTCATTAGAGCTTATAAAGAACGTATATCAAGTCCTTATATAATTACAGCTCACTGAGAACGTACATCAAGCCAGTACATCTCCCTAACAACGCATATCAAATCATGGCACGGGAATACGTCATTGCAGTATCAACTGAGAGCCCCATCACGTCACTGGAACAACTTTGCTTAACCTCGGTGTACAGTTGTTCCCAGTCTCATCAGCCCCAGTCTGGCTCTTATTTTGAGAATGGAGGGGTAAACTGTAACTGGGAGATCGCTTGGCATTTCATGGTAAAAAATATGCCGCAGTTTCTGATAATCCCTCCTGATCAGAAGAGTGAGAGGTTGAATTTCTTGGCCTCAGCCACTATGAAAGATACGTCCCCTCACAGCAGCCTGTGGACGATCTCACATGGTGGGATATTTAATCTCATCAGCACGACTCGATAAAGCCACAACATTCAATATTCTGTAATTACTAAAGAGAAATGAATTATTCAGTTATATACGAATAAATTCTAACAAACATTTGAATGACTAGATGTACGTATATAGAGTTACGAAATAAGGCCAACAGATATTCGTAAATTTAAAAACAAACCCGTTGCTGATCAGGTTGTCCCAGTCGGTTCCCAGTTGCGATCGGTTCATTCAACAACCTGGACTCGACCCACAATTTGATCTTAGGAAGGTCGTACAAAAACATACATTTATGAAAGTACCAGAGTAAAGATCGCTTATATAGTGAGGCATTGATTGATACGGAAATGTTTGATTACATACCTAAAGTACTGATTACAAAAATCCGTCGGTCATAACAACGCGTTGCGTTGAAGATAATAAGAGGGAGACAAACAGGACAATGATGTCACAGTTACGTTGCTATCTTTCTAGGTTACGGGAGTGATGGTGATAAGTGATTTATCAAGGGCAAAGTGACTCAATGTTTACCTGATAACATGTTCACTGTTTGTTCTGAAACTCGGAAGATGAAGTTTGTTGAATAATATGTTTGTGTGTCACCACCTGTTTTGATTAAGGTGGAAATAATATGTTGTTCAAGCACTTTATGATTTAAAAAAATATGTCACTATTAACTACAACCAACAACAGCTATCGGTAAATCATTAGACTGATATTACCAGTAAATCATTACACGGAGTGAGTAATGGTTTTGCGCCGCTTTTAGCAATATTCCAGCAACGTCACGGCGGGTTACACAGATAGAACAATCAGAACAAGTACAAAATTAATGTAAAACAAGATATTTTATTGATTACATCTTCTTTATTATATTATGATGTGGCGTTTCAGTATAAATTCTTATAGCGTTGCCAAGCTAAAGTGAATCAAAAGAAGAAGAGGTTTATTCTTATAAATCACATGTTGTGACATAGAGAACATACAGATAGTTTACACACTGAACAGTATGAGCTTATACGTAGCAAAATTAAAAGTTACTATTATGTACATGATAGTGAGTGAGTTAGTTTAGTTTTACGCCCCTTTTAGCAATATTCCAGCAATATCACCGCGGGAGACACCAGAAATGGGTTTCACACATTGTACCCATGTGGGGAATCGAACCCTTGTCTTCGAGGTAACGAGCGAACGCTTAACCACTAGACTACCCCACCGCCCCATGTACATGATAGAAGCACTACAGCACAGAACAGGCATGCACGTCTAATAGGGGCTAACACAAACAACCATGAAAGAAAGTAACAACAACAACAAAAACAACAACAACAGTCGATATTGACAATTAATGCAGTCACAACTGGAGGAAGCCAGCTGTAAGTGACACGGAACAAAAGACAACCGTGCCATTCGAAACAGACAAATATACACATAAAAAAACCCCATTATCGCAACACCTATGACTTTAAACAGCCACATAGCCATTCATATTCACATCATAATTATGTTTGTAAGACTATCATGACTCTTCCAGCGCACCATACATCTATTTTAGATATGCACCTGATACAATCAAACTCGAGCATCACGTGCAATACGGATACCAGTCATTAAGCAAATACCAAGTTTCAGTGAACTGTTCTTACAGGTCAATAACTTGGAAATCAATTGTTATCGATGTTGATAAGCAAATACGAGGCATCCTCAATGACAACTGCTCAATAATGGCAGGTATACGGTCTGCTGGCGTGTGACTGAGCGCCGCAGCAATTGGTTGTCGTCACCCATCGACTATCGGTCTGAAAACATCAGCAAACTATAACGTTAAGGACCGTCAGCATTCCGGTCGACCACGAGTGACAACTCCTAGTGAGGATACCGCCATTCTTATTATCACAAGACTTCATGCGTTCATGTCAGGTGGCGTGTTAAACACAGAGTGGCTTCCACGTCATGGTCTGTCCAACAAAAGGATCCAAAATGGGCCTGAAATAGCAACGTCCGTTGTTGTCCCAATAGCATAAAGCAGCACGACTAGCTTAGTGTCAAACTCGACATCATTGGAATTTGAGGTCAATGAGAAAGGTCCACTTGTTGGACGAAAGTCGATTTCTTTTGTGGATGACTGACAGCCGAGCAGAAACACTGCATATGCACAACGCAATATTTTGGAGTAAGTATTGTTTGTTGGGGGTTCAGTGGTGGTGTTGGTGTGCCTCCCACATTACTTTTAACCTGACCATTAGACAATCAGACGAAATTCAGAATGGACAACGGTACATCGCGGGCATTCTAAACATGGGTGTTGTACCACATTTCGATGACCATCCTCTGAATACAAGGCCAGTCTTCATGGATGACAATGGTAGGCCACATCCTGCATTCACCGTTGGTGATTTCTTACGGCGGTAGCATCTCTACCGTTGGAGTCTAACATTCCAATCCCATAGTGCATGTTTGGGACATTATGGCGTACAGAATACGCCAGTACAAAAACTTGATGCACTGGAATAATTCAACTATTAACATTGAAACGCAATATACCTCAACGTCAATTTCATTCTGATACAGTCAATGAGGAGGGTCAGGGGTATTCCTGCAATTTGTGGAGGTTACACGCGATTTTGACATTGTGATCGGTTATTGATACTTCAGTTCTTAGTTAGTGAGTGAGTGAGTGAGTGAGCGAGTGAGTTTAGTTTTACGCCGCACTCAGCAATATTCCAGCTATATGGCGGCGGTCTGTAAATAATCGAGGCTGGACCAGACAATCCAGTGATCAACAGCATGAGCATCGATCTGCGCAACTGGGAACCGATGACATGTGTCAACCAAGTCAGCGAGCCTGACCACCCAATCCCGTTAGTCGCCTCTTACGACAAGCATAGTCTCCTTTTGTGGCAAACATGGGTTGCTGAAGACCTATTCTACCCGGATCTTCACGGGTCTTGAGTTCTTCAGGATTGTATGTCAGAATCATGTAAATGACCGCACTTGTTAACGTCCTATCGATGATATTAGCACACAAAAAAAATGTGTCATGTTGCCATATTTGTTTCTCTGCATAAAGTACAGTTTTTCATTCTTTGTGTGTTTAGATCTGCCATTATTCATTGAGGGTCAATGTTTCCAGACAGTAAGTATATTTGAGGTATGGATATGGTTTATGGTAACTTACTGACAATTAAGTCTGTCATGCAGATCCCTGAAACAATTATCTCCAACAAAGCCCATGCAAGTCCAATGAAGAAAGTCTCGGAGCTCCTTTTCATTAAATTTTTGTTTTTTATTATCTGTAAAATATGTTCATTTCAGAAACTAGTTGTCAGTCTAATTCGACACTGTGAAAAATATGGAGTGCTGCGATACTTTGTCTGTGCGTATATAATGAAAAAAGAGTAAATATTATGAGGAGCAAGATGAGGATGATTTATCACTTGGCACTAACTTTGATGATGATGATGATGATGATGATGGTGCTTGTAGTGAGTGAGTTTGGTTTTACGCCGTTTTAGCAATATTCCAGCAATATCACAGCGGGGGACACCAGAAATAGGCTTACACATTGTACCCATGTGGTGAATCGAACCCGGGCCTTCGGTGTGACGAACGGACGCCTTAACCACTAAGCTACCCCACCGCCCCGACGGTGCTTGTATCAAAATACATGGTGCTGTTCATACTAATACTACTACATCGTTAAAATCGAATATAAAAGGCCATATGGATGGTGAATATTCTGAACAACGTAAATTTGACCATTCATATTAAAAATGGCGTCGAAGTGAGCGTGCCAGAGCCGAGCCGCACGTCTACACGGAATGTAGACTTCCTGTGGACACAACACGTGAATGATTCACACACAGCAACTTCCAGGTCGCCACGTGAGCGAGGCACGTCCAGAAGGCACCCGTGGGTCAGTAAATATTGCTTTGAGCCGCATCAACAGTGCTGGAGCTATTCGAGGCTCCAGTACAGCATCACACTGCTCGAAATACGCGTCTTTCAACAACAAATAAAGATTCTATACATCAGTTACCGAAAATAGACAACATACCAACACAAGTATCAACATCTCAAACGTCATTGCACTCGGACGAAGTTGGTAGGTTGGTTTGTTGTTTAACGCCGCACTCAGCAATATTTCAGCTACGAGTATATTGCGGCGGTCTGTAAATAATCGTGTCTGGACCAGACAGTCATGTGATCAACAGCATGAGCATCGATCCACACAATTGGGATACGATGACATGTGTCAACCAAGTCAGCGAGTCCGACCACCCGATCCCATTAGTCGCCTTTTACGGCAAGCATGGGTTGCTGCAGGCCAATTCTAACCCGGATCTTCAACTGACGGTTGACTGGCGAAAAATTGTTGGGTTCTGTTGCTTCATCAAAACGTCGAGGTATAAATGCATAAATTATAAGAAATATTCAGCTGAGTAAGTCAGTTTAGTTTTACGCCGCTTTAAGCAATATTCCAGCAATAGCACGGCGGGGGACACCAGAAATGGGCTTCACACATTGTACCCATGTTGGGAATCGAACCCGGGTCTTCCGCGTGACGAGCGATTGCTTTAACCACTAGGCTACCACCCCACCCCAATATTCAGCTGAACGGCCTACCAAGTGTATTTAAGTCGGTCATATCTCTTCTACATGAAAGTACTGGAGTCAGCTCATATAAATAACACTTACACTAAAAAAATCTAAACATGTTGAATGTAAAGTGATCGATTCAGTTCCCAATGCTTTTGACAAAGTACATCGTTTGACTGTCATCAGTAAATATTTACACATAGAAACAATAGTAGGCCCCATTTTTGATAATAGTAGGCCCCATTTTTCACGGCAATCAGTAAAATTGTGCATAATGCACCAAATATATACCAGTAGTGATTCGGCGGACCAGGTGTTGGAAACAGCAGTGAAGCACGGTGCGAGCAGTCGCAGCGCCTGTCAGCGCAATGCACTGTGTGCACACTACGATGAAAGGATCGACATTCACGTCAAGATTTCACCTACAACCCGCATACACTGGCACTATAATTTATTTGAACAGTAGGGTGGTCGATCATGGTTACTGATTTTGCTCTGTGTACTGAGCACTGTGAAATAAAGCATATAGCAACGCAAGCAGTATCTTGTCTTCAAAACAGTTTGTGTCTATTCAGCATATTTTTCGGTGATCGAGACATCAGCAGCCAAATCGGTTTAAAGTGGAATTTGTTTCTATTTATGAAATAGCAAGTACACAAATAGTGGGGCATACACTTTACCGAGTGTTGTTAATGA